CAGTCGTCTAAGGCGCCGCATTTCTCTGTGCAGAGTTGATTCCCTTGGGCACGCCAGAAACCTATAATTGTGGGTTCGAATCCCGGTTCGCCCCGATTATGTTTCTAGGTTTGTCAGCACCATACCCGTGCTCGTGGGTTTCACCGAAGTGGTAAACGTCTGAGACCTGCATCACTTCGGGCTTTCCTCCCACTTTAAGCTGACACGCCCTGATATAACTGGAATACTGTAAAACGCGGCGTTAAACCCAACTCACTCACTCACTCACTCACTCACTCACTCACTCACTCACTCACTATATGACTGCATAATGACCTAGAATGCACGTTCAATGGCAGTGAATTCCTGGCTCAGAATCAACTGCAACAACAATAGCGTAACGTTATCATAATGGATTAAACACTTATTCAGAAAGGAGCACTCGTCTCATGATCTAGGCTAACTTCATCACTTTTCATGGATGCATTATTACCCTTGGGGATTCTGGGGTACAAAAGGCCCCGAAACAACCTATGTTCGTCGTGAGAAGCGACCAAATGGTTCGGGTGTCCTGGTCGATGACTTGGCTAGTTTCCATGTCATCGTCTCCGACAGCTTGGTCGTTGCTCATTTTAATCACCGGTCTATCTGGTCGATTGTTTACAGGCCGCTTGCAATAGTATTGCGTGTTACGTTAAAACAAATATACAATCAAACCGTTAGAATTGCTGTAACAGAAAGAGTAAGGTAAGTTTCTACGACTGTTTTTGAAGAATTTATTGTAACCAGCCCATTTGAACTATTTCTCTCGCCCTCTCTGACTGGCGGTTAAGGTTGAAACAAGTAAACGCTTACTTAGCATGTAAATTACCAAGCTATGAATGTCACCGTCTTGGTGTGTTGAATGTATACTGGGATTCAAAGACCTTGAAATCAGAGACCATGAAACAGATCTGTTGAAACAAGAAACCTAGATATTGTTTTGAAAACAGAGTTTTATCCCTTTGAAACACGTCAGCTTATACAAGAGGAATACCAAATTCACTGTCAGCTGTTTAAAACATATCATTTTCTTATTTTTGTCAAATTCTTCAACCTCCAGGACAACGTGAAATACGATAATGATGCCCACGGACACTGTGTGTTAATTGAAGTACAGACATTTATTCCCATGTATGGAAAGCTGTCGGGGACATGGTGCCTAAATGTGTACGAAGCATGTTCCACGACTCTCTCATAATGACTTAGACAAACACTTAGTCTACGAAAACATTTCTTAAAAATAATTGTATATTTTGTTCAAAGAACCTTTTCTCTTCTGCTGTTTTCATCTGGAATCAAGGAAACTAGACTTCCAAGTTGATCTAGACTTGCTCAGGCATTTAGTCATGGCGCAGGACTAACAATGGCTGCTTAATTATATGTTACAACTCTCCATCTGGATCACTACTGATTCCCTCATCTATGCCTATAGTTGAGGCGTATAAGAATGTCGTTGAGATCATCCACCGAAAATAGCCCTTGGAAACGAGGATAATTCAATCGCGGAGGCTGGAATGTTATTGTGCGCAATCTCTACACAACTGCAGAGGTAGAAATATTCAAAAGTCACAACTTCGTGTTGTGGTTAAGATGGGGAAAATGTTTTATGGAAGTAAATTGTCCAGTCCTGTTGCTAGCTGAATTATTTAACATTTTGGTTTGATTGTAAGATTTGTGCTAGCTTCTAAGCCTTGGTTGTTCTAAGAGAACACTTCAACTGTTGCTATGGATACTCTTCAGAAGTGTTAGCATATTTGCGACACCTGTTTTCAAAAGACACATCTTCATGCTTTGCAACGTGTGACATGTGATAACTATGACTCTTAGCGTTATGTTTTTACCATAGCGATACCATGGCTACTGTTGACCGGTTAACAATGACAACTGAACTGGAACATGGTGTATACATTGCATAGGTAGGGAACACTCCTAAAACCTATCGCCAACATCGGTCTTTGTTGATTTTCCCTAGTGATCGTAATCGGCTTTGTAACACCCTACCGCTGCTTATCAAATCGAGGCATACATTCACCCGCCAGAGGGCAGACTCGATAATCACTCGTCTGTCTCGCTAATCACCCTTTAGTATTTATCATTCGAGCACACTCAAGTCTTCAAGTTCAACCAAGATTATTTGAATCTACTTACCACGGCATTGTCCCGTTGTCAAGTGGCCCCTAGCTTTGAGACGGGGCCAAGCGCTGCGGGTGGCCACACAGAAGGACCCTTGCAGCCTTAGAACTTTGTTTTTTAAGACTAGTCCAGAGGACGAGTGTAAACCTTAATTCTCTCGTCCTTAAGAGTTTGTAGCTACTGCTGCTTGAATGAGACAAAACATTTACTGTGTTTACAGTTTCTGTCTGTCAATGAAGATGAGGACAAGGAAGGATGAGGATTTAGCTTGACTTCAAAATAATTTAATAGTCACAGGCTAGCGGCCTAGCGTGAATATCTAAGTGACTGACCGTTTGATATTAGTGGGGGGAATGGGAGCTGAGATTGTTATCGAAAAAACTAATTCACCCTGACCTATAATAATGCTTCCGAGCTTCAAATATATTCTGGCGCATAGATTTAAATAATAAATAATCTGGTTTTGCAGCTGCAGCTAAACAATCTACTCGTAGTTATCAAAATGCATATGTGAGTTTGACTGGATCAGATTAGACGACAATTAATGCGTGTTATCAGCTTTTGCAGCAATAAGGTAATTTATCTTTGGTAGCCAACGATAGGTCAAAACAGACAATCGTGTATCAAATGTTTCATACTGGTATGAAGATTATGCCTTGGGGCGAATGAGACATGAATAAAAAAAATCTTTGTTTCCTTGACAGTTTCGAATTTGATATATTTCTGTATGTTGATAAATTGAGCCATCTGAGCAACGTATTGTAATAAGCTCGAATTTCTCGGTGACATGAATATGTGTCACTGTGGAATGCATCAATAAGTGATCGCTGTATGATAAGACAGGTCCTTCAACTTGGCCATATATCACAGTTGTTCACAGCCTGTTTGCCATAAAGATTGAGACAGTGTATCCATAAAGATTGAGATTGTATATCAGGAGCAGTATGGGGTAGTGTGGTAGCCTTGTGGTTAGCGTTAGCTCGTTACCCCTTCGGTCCGGACTCGATTCCCCACATGGTACATTGTGTAAAATCAATTTGGGGTGATACTACTGCAATATTGCCAATGCCCGCATAAAATCACTCCAACTCACATATATTATTCAAGGGAGTTACGTTTAACGCCGTTTTAAACAGTATTCAGTTATTTCACAGCGTGACAGCTGGTCGCTATATGGCTTGAATAATGCCGAGGCGACGTTAAATGTTTACTCATTCAGTGACTCACTCTGTGGACCTGTGAAGATCCGGGATAGAATAGGTCTTCAGCAACACATGCTTGCGTAAAAGGCGACTAACGGGATCGGGTGGTCAGGCCCGCTGACTCGGTTGATGCTTTTCATCGTATCCCAATTGCGTAGATCGATGCTCATGATATCAATCACTGGATTGTCTGGTCCAGACTGGAATATTTACAGACCTCCGTCATATAGCTGGCATAGTGCTGAGTGCGGCGTTTAACAACAAACAAACAAACACTCAAACACTCACTCTGATTTGAACGAGTGGGTCAGTGGTATATGGCACCGGAATTCGATATGAGAGTTTCGTCACTTAGTTGTACAGGATCCGCTGTCGTGAGTTCGACTCCGAAAACTGTACTGATTAGAGATTCTAGGTTTTCGTATTTTATAGATATGGCAAAAACTTTTTTCCTTCAGAGCGATGCAATATAGGACGAGCGCGTTGTACAGATTGGGTCTTGTTTGTATCAAGTTTAGAATAATTTGTCCCGTAGGGATTCTAGCTCAGAGCAGTTCACCAGAAACTTTGACTTTGTTGATAGCATGTCATCGGACCTCGACTTCGTTAATCGTTGTTCACAATCTGAATCATTGGATCGTCTGGTCCAACCTGCCGTCATATAGAGCGTTAAACAACGACCGAAGAAACGAAATCATAAATTCTCGGGATCCCCTTAGTGCGCAGCGTTCAATCATTCTCATTCCCATAAATGTGCCAGGAATGCCAATTATTATTGACATTTTTGTCATAAGAGATGCTAATTCCCCAGTCATAGGTTCAGTGTACCATGCTCTACTTAAGCTCTGTAAGCGCCTAGTTAAAATATGCCTGTACGATTTCTCAAACGTTTGGAACTTTTTACTTTATTAATATCTGAATAAGGAGGTTATTAAAGCGGAACGTTTTTAACGTCTCTGATCTGCATTGTACATCTCGTATACGTACACATCTGTTATTTGTGTCCCATATTTTCTTTAAGACTGGGGCGGTGGGTAGCCTAGTGGTTATAGTGTTTAATCGTCACGCCGAAGGCCCGGGTTCGATTCCCCGCATGGGTAATATGCGTGAAGCCCATTACTGGTGTCACCCGACGAGATATTGCTAAAAGCGGCGTTAAAGCATACTCACTCACTCACAGTATTTATCTGTATTGTCTCATATATTTAAAATGTTTGGGGATTAACCCTTCAACATGTCGATCTTATGTCAACATATATCGGGATATCTATATTTGGACTTACTATGCAGCTGCCTTTTCAACTAACTCTTTGGCTTTATGTCCGAATTTTAATAATAACATGACAAATTGCAGGAAAGAGAAATTCTGTTAACTGTTTGTTATTATCTTTGCTGGAAATCAGCGGACTTGGCATGTATTTTTTAATACAATCGATCTTCTCAAACCCCTCTATGTTTACTTGGTATCCATGCAACGTACATTATTGACTAGTATATGTCATATTGCGGAAACCCAATCGGTGTTTACTGCACTGGGACGTGTTTGTAACATGTCATTCAGATATTGTCCTACGTGAAATAGACACTAGCACCTGTTGAATGTTTATGATCATATGACTCACGTCCTTGTTTTGTTTGTTACAGGCAGACCAGCTGACAGAAGAACAGATCGCTGGTGAGTAAACACTCATGCGTGAGACAGAAGCAATGACTGACATTGCTTCCATGTCAATTCCCCGACATTCCCCGACATTCCCCGTTTCAGTGTAGCCTGTAACTGTATGATATCGGTGGGGTAGTCTAGTGGTTAATGCGCCCGCTTTTCACGCCGATAGCCCGGGTTGGCGTCTCCACATGGGTACAAAGCAACCATTGCCTGTTGTATGATTTTGTTAGACAATCCAGTGATTGATGCCATGAGGATCTTTTCACGCAATTAGGATACGATGACATGCATCAACCAGGTCAGCGAGCATGACGCATGACCACCCGATCCTGTTAGTGCCCTTTTACCGCAAGCATGGTTTGCTGAAGACCTATTCTACCCCGGATCTTCAGGGGGCACCTGTTGCATGATGGGACTAAGGGAGCGGATGGTCAGACTCGCTGACGTGGTTGATGCATGTCATCGTATCCTAGTTGCGTAGATCGATGCTCATGATTTCACCCACTGGATTGTCTGGTCCAGATTTGATTATTTACACACCGCCGTCACAAAGCTGGAATATTGCTGAGTGCAGCGTTAAATAACAAAAGAACTACCCGATCCTCATAACATGTATCTGCTCTCGCGACAAGTATGAGTCCTGGGCCCACTTGCACAAAGCGATCTTCGCGCTAAGATGATCGTAACTCCCATGCAATAACATAGGCTTACAATAGTCGTAGCGCTAAGATCGCTTTGTGCAAGTGGGTCCTGCGAGTCCATACCTTAAAATACATATGGAAGTTGGGATGTAAGAACGATCGTGTGGTTACATGCTGATTGTACCCAACGGCGTAGATGATACCTTATGTCATCAACCATTTGTTTGTCTGATAGAGACTCAGGTTAAAAACGGGCGGTCGGGTAGCCTAGTGGTTAAAGCGTTTGCTCGTCACGCCGAAGACCCGGGTTCGAGTCCCGACATGGGAACAAAATGTGAAGCCCATTTCTGGTGTACCCCGCCGTGATATTGCTGGAATATTGCTAAAAGCGGCGTAAAACCATGCTCACTAACTCTGGTTAATTACAGACTGACATGAAAAAGCTGGAAGGTGGTTGTGGCGTAAATAGATTTTCTTGCAATAAAACTATGCGCGATGTTGAGTTGAATTATGCCATTGATATCATTTGAAGCACAACATTTGCGACGTTAATAAATTATTAGATCATAATTCATATATTAAGAGCGCTTTGGGATAATAACTTGCTGCCACTATAATTGAATCATGTCTCTCATTACGCAGTCACTCGCTGTTCACACCACGCGGGCTTGTTTTTCGTGTTTATTAGTGCCAATCAAGGCTGTGATAATTGTGCTGTGAATGAAGGTCGCATTATTAATGCCATGTTGCCTTTGTGTTGGGTGAAATGAACTTGATGGAATGTGAGGGTGTTTCTTTCACGCTCAGTGAATGGAGCCATTGTAGTTTGCCTGCCGGTAATAGTACCCCTTGCGCCAACATGTGTGAAACACGGGTAGATTGCTAGTCATTAACAGTGAGATGAGGCCGTGACTTTTACTATTGGCAGTGGGAATATATATCATTTATGTTGCGTGCTAAGAACTACAAGCTCGACCAAGATAAGTGTCAGTTCTACTGGCAGGTGTAAGCACGACTGACGCAGTTGTAATAACAGACGTAGATGCATACATAAGCACTAGTAATGCATATGTAAGAACTGATGCAGTTGCATATGTAAGCACCACTGATGCAGATGCATGTGTAAGAACTGGTGATGCAGGTGTAATAACAGACGTAGATTCATATGTAAGCAATTGTGATGCAGGTGTAATAACAGGCTTAGATTCATATGTAAGCAATAGTGATGCAGGTGTAAGCAATAGCGACGCAGCTGTAATAACAGACGTAAATGCATATGAAAGCAATAGTGATGCATGTGTAAGCAAAAGTGATGCAGGTGTAATAACAGACGTAGATTCATATGTAAGCAATAGCGATGCAGGTGTAATAACAGACGTAGATGCATATGTAAGCAATAGCGATGCAGGTGTAATAACAGACGTAGATGCATATGTAAGCAATAGTGATGCAGGTGTAACAACAGACGTAGATTCATATGTAAGCAATAGCGATGCAGGTGTAATAACAGACGTAGATTCATATGTGAGCAATAGTGATGCAGGTGTAATAACAGACGTAGATTCATATGTAAGCATTACTGACGGAGGTGTAATAACAGACGTAGATGCATGTATAAGCAATAGTGATGCAGATGTAATGACAGACGTAGATTCATATGTAAGCACTACTGACGGAGGTGTAATAACAGACGTAGATGCAGATGTAAGCAATGGTAATGCTGGTGTAATCGTAACAGACGTAGATGCATGTATAAACAATGGTAATGCAGGTGTAAGCAATAGTGATGCAGGTGTTATAACAGACGTAGATACATGTATAAACAATGGTAATGCAGGTGTAAGCAATAGTGACGCAGGTGTAATAACAGGCGTAGATGCATATGTTAGCACTACTGACGCGGGTGTAATAACAGGCGTAGATGCATATGTAAGCACTGCTGACGCAGGTGTAATAACGGACGTAGATGCATATGTAAGCACTACTGACGGAGGTGTAATAACAGACGTAGATGCAGATGTAAGCAATGGTAATGCTGGTGTAATCGTAACAGACGTAGATGCATGTATAAACAATGGTAATGCAGGTGTAAGCAATAGTGATGCAGGTGTTATAACAGACGTAGATGCATGTATAAACAATGGTAATGCAGGTGTAAGCAATAGTGACGCAGGTGTAATAACAGGCGTAGATGCATATGTTAGCACTACTGACGCGGGTGTAATAACAGGCGTAGATGCATATGTAAGCACTGCTGACGCAGGTGTAATAACGGACGTAGATGCCCATGTAAGCAATAGTGATGCAGATGTAATAATATGTTTATTGGATGCATGTGTAAGCAATAGTGATGCAGGTGTAATAACAGACGTAGATGCCTATGTAAGCACTACTGATGCAGGTGTAATAACATATTTATTGGATGCACATGTAAGCACCGGTGAATCAGATTTAATAACAGACGGATATGCTTTTAGGAGCCCCTCTAATGCAAGTGTAATAGCAGACGAATATGCATATGTAAGCACCACTGACAACAGACTTAGCCTTGCTATTCACTGTAGTGCATTACACTCTCTGCTTGACTGTTAGCACATCGGTGCACTTGGGAATTTTTAACAGAGATGCTAATCAGTGAGATTGACGAAAGACGTCCTACTTTGTCAACGACCAGGTTATTGATAAGAATAAACACGTGGCGTATGTCAACACAGTTATGAATAATCAAGGTACCGTGTGAGGGATCGCTCTCCAGCGACATCCTCCACTACACTCTGTCAAATATTCGCACCATGAAGACAGTGGCACACTTCTTAATATGCATATATTCATACATCGGTGCTGTACGTTATTCGTGTAAGCGACTGGTCATGATATTGTTAAGTATTGATGTTATTCCTCGCCACAAAAACATTTATCACTGACCTCACATGATGTTTTAAACTGTAGAGTTCTACACATATCTTACATTAATAATAACATGAATAGTGAGAAAAGTATCGATATCGAAGGGCCAAATTCCAGTCATTTTGCCGATAAAGGTATGTCTTCCCTAATAATTTATGTATCTGTTATGAACTCAGAAATCCAAAGCGGCATTTGTACATGGTTATGTAGATAAATAGAAGAACCTTGGTAAATGAAACCATGCCGCAATCAGTACATAACCTAAACTCTGTAGTAACATATATAACGGTTTAAAAAGAACCAAATATCACAACTGATTACAGCTACCTCTATGTAGATTCATTGTTTTAGAAAATGCACATATAGTCGTTAATAATGCTGCAAACCATGTCTTTGTCTCATTTGTTTTTATAAGTTTTTTTTTATTTATTCATTTATTTATTTTCTTATATTTAGTGCGATATAATGTAATATTGCAGTCTGCTGCATTAAAAATATACGTCGACCTAATCTTTTGCGTCATGACACTCCACAAACCCCTGAGCACTACGTTGTACCGTGTGAACACTGCACCTGTTCCCGCGTGTCTGAGTAATATGGAGCAGAACGGTTATTCAAGTTGCCATGTCACATCGTCTTTTAAAGACCACGAAGAATTAGCAGGCACACCTGGGGAAGATCATGCATACATTGTTTTGGTTTAGTATGGACAGCGCTTCCCCCTCCCCTTTTTGTGTGCCCCCCGTCTCGATTATGCCGCCCACTCAAATAACGGCAATGCCGAATACATGTTTCTAAAACAATGGGGGATCCCTAACGAGAATAGGTCCCTCGTACCTCCTGCTCGTGCTGGAAACCGACTGTTACGAGGCACAGGCGGTCAGGTTCTGTCACTTTGATGCGTGTGTCACCATCCCCGACCGCTAGCCGTGAAAGTTAAATATGCAAATCGAGCAATGGTTTGCCAGGCGGCAGCTTGAATATTTAGGGACCACTGTGGTGTAGCTGAAAGATTGCTGACTGGCGTTAAACAACAAAAATACAACATTGTACCAAACATGATGTCTAACTGATGATTCCGTGTTAAACAGATAGGACGGGTTACTTTCGGGACCTACCATCAGTCGTAAGAGGCGACTAAGGGGATCGGGTGGTAAGGCTCGCAGATTGATGATGCATTACATCAATCACTGGATTGTCTGGTCCAGACTCGATTATTTACTGACCGCCGTCATATGGTTGGAATATTGCTGTTAAACAACAAACAAACAAACCTACCATCAATATTCTGGGGGTGGGCCGGGCCGGGAGTTTTGTTTGAGATGGATTAATATTCAAAACATTCAATTTCATTCTCTAAATTGAAGCTTCAAACCTTTTTTGGTACCCACGACACATTATTTTTCATAACATCAAGCACATGTCCAAAGATCGATTTGTATGTAATACCTCACGACAAATTAATATTTCCAAACATGTTTGTGAACATATGTATATTGTACGGCGTAGATTGTTGGTTGTACTATCAAACATTAGTTTGGTTGGCCCAAACTCGCGTTTGTCAACATGGTCAAAATACAGCTGGAATATTACTTTAGGTGCACACCCTGGTCATGACTTTAATCCTTAAGTTGTCAGGGGCGGTCGGGTAGCTTAGTGGTAAAAGCGTTCGCTCGTCACGCCGAGGACCCAGGTTCGATTCCCGACATTGGTACAATGTGTGAAGCCAATTTCTGGTGTCCCCCGCCGTGATATTGCTGGAATATTGCTAAAAGCGGTGTAAAACCGTACTCACTCACTTAAATTGTCAACAACATGCCAGTGCTCTTGACTTTTCTTACTGGATGGATTTATATACACATTCATTAAAGTTTATAAGGGGTAATATCAAAACCGCAACCATCATATGATATTGGTATTACTAAATTCATTGTTATGAAGTATGTACATAAACTATTAACCATAATTGGCATTCACTACATGGGAGTTTACGACACCAGACTGCCTATTGGTGTCATGTTTGCTAGAGCGTATGTGTGTTGGTCGTATATATTCATTGCTGATATATATTTATTGGAAGTAGCCATAAATACGATTTCGACATTTGTGTGTTAAAAAGGACGGTGACATGAATCGATCTGAACGCCAGTCGATGAATGCTGAATGTACCTTGGTCATAAAATATTCACCTGCGAGTAACCTGATACATGTCAATGTTTTGTAGAGTAAGACCTGTCAAGGGGGTTACTGTGTTTATTGTTGGAGAGAAATGCTGCTAGGTGAGCCCAGTGATATGGGAATAGGTTATTGGGTGTGTGCATTGCCTCACAAACCTATGTTCCGTGAAGCAGTACCCACGTGTTTCCGGAGAAGCATAAGAGCCCGGTATCTTTTCTCGCCATATACGGGGCCGTTAGTATGGAGATCAGGGGTGTGTTTCAAAGCGCCGATGTACAACGATTCGCCTTACAACGGGGCGCTAACTTTAAGGCGCTTGCAAGTGTACTAATCGCTGGCTGCGGTAGCTTCGTTCTCAAGCCAAAATGGCGGCTGAGTTGAACAAGGCATCTTGACTAGATCAACTGGGAAATGGGCAAAGGCAGCAAACACTCCATCATCTTCAGTCTGCTCCGCATCTTCAAAGTCATCGTAAATTCATCAGCTCGTCATCCAGCCCCCCTTCTGTTACGTTCTTTATACAGGCAAGGCATCTAAGCGGTAGTTGCGCATTTGGAGTGCGCATGCGCTTGGAGCTGTTGCAGACCCCGGTATGAGCGATTGACTTGCTTACTCTTGCAACCCGCCCCAAGTATCACAACGGTTTCCGAGTATGTGCAGAGCTTGAATGGGAGCAACCACGGTGACCATTTTTTTAAACAGTCCCCCAATAGCATAGCAGATTACCATTCTCTCTCTCCCCGAATTGAAGTTGTGTTGGATGTACTGTGAATTCACGAAAATAAGTCCAATCCGTTTATCTGTATAACTATTGTTCTTCTTTCAGAATTCAAAGAGGCTTTCAGCCTTTTCGACAAAGACGGCGATGGCACCATCACAACCAAGGAGTTGGGAACCGTCATGAGGTCACTAGGTCAGAACCCAACAGAGGCAGAGTTGCAAGACATGATCAACGAAGTAGATGCTGATGGTAAATCATACTTAAATAATGAAAATAATTGAAATCTTAAGTTAATGTTTGCTTAGCATCATAACTTAAGTGTGTCAAGTCCTTTGTCAGAATCATACCCGTGCTCGTTAGTTTCATCAATATGATGAGGTCACGGGTGGTCCTATCGCCTGCAGCCCTGCAATTCGCTGTGCAGAGTTGCGTCCCTTGGGTATTCCAGAAACCTATGATCGTACGTTCAAATCCCGGTTCGCCCCGATTATGTTTCTAGGTTCATCAGCACCGTAACGCGTGTTCGTTGGTTTCACTAAAGTGGTAAACGTCTGAGACCTGCCTCACATCGGTCTTTCGTGCCTGATTAAGCTGACACGCCCTGAGATAGTGGGAATTACTGTTTAAAGCGGCGTTGAACCCAACTCTCTCACTCACTCATCGAAATGATAATGTCTACTACCCGCATCGCATTAGGCTGATACTTCGTGTTGATGTAAAATGTTCTCTTTAACCCAATTCCGTCCCTAGATTTAATAAAGTTCTTATCATATCACAGGAAACGGAACAATAGATTTCCCAGAATTCCTCACCATGATGGCGCGAAAGATGAAAGATACGGATACAGAGGAGGAACTAAGAGAAGCATTCCGAGTGTTCGACAAGGACGGCAACGGTTTTATCAGTGCAGCTGAGTTGAGGCATGTCATGACAAACTTGGGCGAGAAGTTGACTGACGATGAAGTAGATGAAATGATCAGGGAAGCAGATATTGACGGCGATGGACAAGTAAATTATGAAGGTACGTAACACACTTCTCATGTGAAGTTCGTAATTAAGATGTGTTTGAGCTGTCTAAAATGGCTATTGTAACATAGCATCCATGTTTCTGAATACACTGAAATGACATTGGGCCCCGTTCCACAAAGCGATGTTAGCACTACGGCTATGGGAGTTAGGATTTTTTTAGAGCTAAGATCGCTTTGTGCAACGGACCCTGTTGTCTACCGCAACACTCTCGGGGGATGGGGGGAAATCGGTCGTTATCTTCGGAGATACCTTTTTGTGACCGAGGTCAAGCGACATTTTCATAGCATTTAACTTGTTTTGTTAGATTTACGTTTTAATAATTGCAACCAGGAGTCAGTAAAGGAATAGGAATGACACGACTATCCAAGTACTCATCAATGGCAGAAAACGGGACTTTGTATGATTGCTTTGTAGAACGGTGCACAAAGAAACAGTGCAGTTTCCCGCGGTCTGTGGGGAAATACATAGGTTCCTACATTGGCGTCGTTACGTAGTGCTTGTGCATATCCGGGTTAAAACTGGTTTTCAGCAACCCATGATTGTCCTAAGACGCGACTAACGGGATCGGGTGGTCAGACTCGCTGATTTGGTTGATGATTGTCATGTGATCCCAGTTGTGTAGATACATGTTCATGATGTCAATCACTGGATTGGCTGTCCAGACTCGATTATTTACAGACCGCAGCCATAAAGCTTGAATATTGCCAAGTACGGCGTTAAATAACAATCAGCGTTACGCGCAGTTGGTGAGTCATCGACTCATAAAGCGATGTGTATATTCAGTGGTATCGCCCATCCAAATAAATCTAAACAGGCAAGCCATAGCTGCATAACCAGCACGAGATTGTCTCAATGGAATAAAAGTTAAGCAGAAACTGACTTTTGACGTTGGGATGACTGGTCGATGTAAATGAAATCAGTTGTGTTCCGGTAGGATGCGAGATCAGAGCCGTCCTCCTCACAGCGCCAATTCATCACACGCTGACAACAAGTCTCCAGTGGCCTTGAATTCCGCTTTATTGTCAAGTTCGTAGCTCCAAACGTGTATTGATTTCCTGACCAGACTCAGACACAATATTTTTTGGCGAAACAATGGGCACATGTAATCTACTCGAAACATTTGTAGACAACTGTCTGTTGCGAGCCACGTCTACAACGCGAGACAACTACATTCAACCATGCCACTGCCGTTCATGTCGCCGTCATCGTACAGGATATACGAGTGGTCCTGTGGTCCAGAGATGTGATTGCATGCAATTATTGTTCTTAAATTTAATTCTGACCCTGCTTATTCGCACCGCGTAACAGTCGGACAGATTCTACTTGTGTATTTCTATCAATCATGTGATAATGTGACATTTGACTGACGGCTCACGCCGCGTACACATTCATCCGTTCTGGACTGAGATAGGACTTTACCGTTTTCATGATCATTGTCCTGTCCTGGAAGCAATCATTCACGATTTATGGCTTACAAAATACAGGGAAAATACAAAAAGTATTGATTTCACATTTTGGGCAATAGCCATACTGCCTTTGGTAAAACTCTGTAATTGAAAAAAGTATTCATGTGTCTCAAATGCCGAATGGGTCATTAGAATAATGCCTGTTTTACACTAAAGCATCGTTAAACAAATTAAACAAACGTACATGTATATGGTGTTTTAATATGACGACCGTCTACAAGGTCGTTCATTGCTCTAGTTGGAGAAATGAGTTCTGTAGTTCCATCAGTGCTATTGATCCAACTCATGACACTTGTTACAATATTAGTGCGTGAAGATCCCGGTTAGAACTGGTCTTCAGCAACCAATGCTTGACGTAAGGGGCGACTCACGTGATCGGGTGGTCAGGCTCGCTGACTCGGTTGATGCCAATTGCGTTGATCGATGCTCATGATGTCATCCACTGGATTGTCTGTCTAACTGAAAGATTGTTCGAGTTAAACCCAATTCACTCACCCAGTGTCGGGTAGCAATATTCAGGCAATTAGGACTTACGTTTGACTTCTCTGTTGTAATCGATGACATTCCATATGAAAAATCCTTACATTTTCTTCAAGTCCAGTGCTTACTGAATGGACCTGTGAATATCCGGGGTAGAATAGGTCTTCAGCAACCCATGCTTGCCGTAAAAGGCGACTAACGGGATCGGGTGGTCAGGCTCGCTGACTTGGTTTATGCATGTCATCGATCCAAATTGCGTGGATCGATGTTTATGATGTTAATCAATGGATTATCTGGTCCAGACTCGATTATTTACAGACCGCCGTCATGTAGATGGAATATTGCAGAGTGCGGCGTAAAACAGCAAACCAAACCAAAAGCTTAATATATGGGATGTAATCGCTTGGTTTAGACGAACGTAATCATGAAAAATCATGGTCCAAAAGCCGGTTCTGTTACAGTCATCACAAAAGCATTTGCCTTGAAAGCAACACTGATATGACGCAGTGGTCTTAGGCGCCACAGTTCGCTCTGTGCAGAGTTGCGTTACTTGGCACGCCAGAAATCTGTGATTGTTGGTACGAATTCCGATTCGCACCGATTATGTTTCTTGGTTTGTTAGCACCATACCCGTGCTAGTGGGTTTCACCAAAGTGGTAAGCGTCTAAGACTGCATCATTTCGGGTATTCTTCAACTGACACGCCGTGGTATAACTGGCATACTGGCCAAGGTGTCTTTAAGATGACTTACTTAGCCATAACATTATCAAACAAGCTCTCACTTTTAATTTGTGTTTTTCTTCGCAGAATTCGTTAAGATGATGACAGCGAAGTGAGAGGCGACAGTATCACGTGACCACCTGTACAGCAATATTGTCCATCATCCTGTGCTCGGTCTGCAAGCTGTCATGATTGACAGCAAAGACGTCATGAATATCTGACCAATCAAGAACGCTTGCCTTATCGTATTAACTATGCTTTTACATTGTAAATATCCCATACTCGTGTGTATATTTTGATAATGATTATTTATCCGCCCTCCTCTCCGTTTTTCTAAATCTGGTTCTCAATTATACAAATATCATTAGTTATTCCTGTATTCATCTATATTACTGAACGTTTTCTCTTATCGAATTCTATACATCGATAAGTTTCATGACTACTCTTGAATTTAATCACTCAACATCGATCTCTTCCTGTTATCATAGACTGTAATAAACCCTTCTCATTATAACATTAGTTATGTTATTTCCCGGAATCAGGGCGACAATATAGGCCCACAGCAACTTGTGCAGGTCGTAAAAGCGACTACATTGGTCGGGTGGTAAGGCTCGATGACTTGGTTGATCATATCCCAATTGCGTGGATCTATGCTCATGACATCAATCACTGGCGTGTATGGTCCAGACTGGGTTATTTAAAGACCTCCATCATATAGGTGGAATACTGCTGAGTGCGGCGTTAAACAACAAACAGTATCACATTTCCACAAAATGTCAACGCCAAGCATTATCAGTTTCGAATGTCTTCCCAAACAGAAACCATAGGGTGAAGTGATGATACAATGTGTATGCAACAGTCACTAAAAATCAGGAATAACACAAGGTGTTCGCGAAAAGGGTAAGCATGTCGTGCTTAGGGTGTATGTTGGGGAATGGTTGCTGTCTTGTGTTGGGATTCTGTGTAATGTGTAGAAAAGAGGGGTATGCAGCTTAATCCAGACATGGTGCGATTTGTATGTGGCTCAGTGGTTGATATTGTGTGATTTCCGTGTGGTAATTAAATCTTGTACCGCCTCCGTGGTCTTGTAGGAGAGCGGAAGGTTCGGGGATCAATCACCGGCCGCGTCATACCAAAAGACGTTAAAAGATGGTACTTGTTGTTTCCCTGCCTGGCGCTCGGCATTAAGGGGCTAAAACAAGGACTGGTCGGTATTGTTAAACCGGAGTAAATCACACAAACTCATTCTCCTCCGAATGCCGGCCTGATAATGGTGTGTCTGATGTGAAAATGCGTTACCCTTGCATTCAAAGACTAATAGTTAAAAAATATAATTTAAAATATTTTTACATAAAATCACATATTTCTGAGATAATCCATTTTTAAAATAGCTCAAATCTCTGTCGTACCCAATTGAAATTCTCGTCTTCAAGTGCAAGGGAGATAAATCCGTTCGTACTTCCATTGTTTCTCGAAACTTAAGCCTACATCACCACATATACACAGTTATACAAATAATACAACACAATCATATGGTTTCCTTCGGTGAAACAAGTGTGAAAATTGGATTTAACATCGCGTTAAAGATTATTGCAATTATATTGCCATGTAACAAAAGGTACCATCGTTTAGCGTTTGTATGAAGCGGCCGGGTATCGAACCACCGACCTTCCTCTCTCTGGGCAGACGCTCCATCCACTCGGAGGTGGTCCATTTTCAGTGAAAGGAATAGACGGTATTGTGACTGTCAAATGCGAAAGTGGGACATATTCATGTGTGAGTAGGTAATCAGGGGTAATCAGTGAACTGATAAACTGATACACTGATAAACACGTAATATCAAAGCCTGCAGAGACGTCATGATATGGAACCTATGGGAACAGGTTCTAAAGATCTAAACCATCAATCATCGGAGGCAAGCACTACAAAGGGAGGTAACACACATCGAATGGCGGCGCTTGGTTCCAGCGTTATATAATGAAATTCACATTTTTGCCATATTTTTGTAGTGAAGACTGAGCACACAATTTCACAAACAAAAAATCCCAAAATATTATGTTCCCTAACTTTTTTGTTCTTTGAAAAAAACATCAACGATATTGGATAATACCATCTTGTGCTCAAGCTTGTGGTGAACTTTTTTTACTTTAGTGCCAGAGCACCGTTATTACATACTTAGACATTAAGCGCAAATAGGAAAAAACGTGGCAGATGTGTTTTTGTTTAGTTTTTAGAGTTTCCATATGGGAGTAAACCTCTGTTATGTGGTGCAATCACGGCAATAAAAGCATGTTTTGTTTATTGTTTTCCGCCCACCTCTTATCCAACATCTCATATCCGGACACTTTTTTTCCGGAAGTTGGTTGACGACAAGGACCGCACTAAATGGCATGGCGACATGTAATTGCACGACTAATCATTATAATCTCGGTCCAGATAAAAAACACATGACATCGATTTTGTCAAACGAGATGCATAAAAGAAATATAGGCTGTAGGGCTGGCCAGTCATTGGTGTCTTCTCGCGCCAAACAGGACCTTTGTACATGCAATACATACCCCGCATGGGTGTCAATCTGAGGTCACAGTCGTGATAATGCTACATATAGGCATCACAAGAAAAGTTGGATGCGAGGCATCACCACGACTACAAAACATAGCATGTCTATATCATAATCGCAAACAAACTTACATTAAATATATTTTGCCAAAATGGTTAATCAACACAGGCATGTTTAAAACAATATAAACAATATTGGTTTCAATTCATTCCCTGTTTTACATCTTACATCATGTTTTTTCTTCTATGTTTACATCCCTTACATACTAAATTTAATAAACACGGTCTTTCAACAGTATATGAGCGCAGCAACTATTTCAGGTGGTCACCGCGCTAATCGTTGTGATGAACCCCCCGCCCATTATTGCGGTAAACATTCTAACAAATGTCATGCATTTCAGGGTTTAAATATAAAAAAGGAACAACTGACAACATATCTGGAATTTATTAATAAAGTTATAATGTAGAGAAAATAACTGAAAAGCATGTACTTTCTATTCTATTACCCATGAGTTCCTAGACTTAGTAGAAAACAACAGAGTGCACGCTCCGTCACTTATTTCAGTGGTAAACCCCGCGGATACAGAGGTGATAGTAAGCACGGATAGAAATTTTAAGAGTGAGTGAGTGAATTGGGTTTAACGCCGCTTTTAACAGTATTTCAGTTATATCACGGCGTGTCAGCTTAATGTGGGAGGAAATCCCGAAGTGATGCAGGTCTCAGACGTTTACCACTTCGGTGAAACCCACGAGCACGGGTATGGTGCTGACAAACTTAGAAACATAATCGGGGCGAACCGGGACTCGAATCCGCAATCATAGGTTTCTGGCGTGCCCAAGGGACGCAATTCTGCATAGCAAATTGCGGCGCCTTAGACGACTGGGCCACCCGTGCCCCCAGAAACTTTAAGAAAATGGTGTGTATGGTTGCACAGCCTTTTGGAAAAAAGGTGGGGAGTGTGCACGAAACGTGTTTTGAATGGCAATAATTCGCGAAACAATTTGCGTTCGTTAGCCAAAACGTCGTCAATTAATTTATATTTTTTAAGTCACCAATGTTTGATGTTTTTCAAATGTAAACGTGATTATCATGCTTCAGAAAGGGGGCGCACCACAACATCGTTGCCCTTGCTAACATGACCAGATTCCATTAAAAACAAGTCGACTTCACATAACTGGAATATTGCTGCTGCGGTTTTTAAAAAAAAATCACTCACAAATAAAAGCCTATTGCAAATGTTGAATTATTTTATATTTCACACACTTTCTGCGTGAAAGCAAAGGTTTTCAATATACGCCATTTTAGATCTAGCTCCGACACTCTATCCTACTCGGGCAATATGCAGTATCTATGTAGGATGATATCTGATGTTAAATGATGCGCTGTTTCCCCTGTATTATATAGGTGACGCTACAAATATACTTAGGTGTTTGTATGGCACATAGTGCGCCGTGCAGACACTACACGTGAATATTATGATATATTTTACGGATGCTTCTAAGACTAGACGCCTAAAAAAATCACTCTGCTCACTCTTATCCTATGGGTCATCTCGGTGCCGGGGAAATTGGATTTAACGTCGCGTCCAAGATTATTGCACTTATAAAGCGAGGTGTTGTTGCTTGTACTAGTCTGGACTGGTGCCGATTTATAGTGCTAGCTCACTGAGATGCCGCAGTTTAACATGAATACCCCACTCAGACACAGTATACTGACTCAGAGCCGACCAGTCCTTGTCTCTTAATGCCGAGCGCCAAATAGGGTAATAACAAGTACTATCGTTTACGTCTTTTGGTATGACGCGGCCGGGGATCGAACCCCGGACCTTCCGCTCTCTTGGCGAACGCTCTACCACTAGACCACGGAGGCGGTCGAGGCATCTCAGCCAGCATTGGAGGAACCTAGACTGGTTTCACTAGTTTCACTAGTTCACGTGACTATCACAGGACAGTCGTTGTGCGATATCAAATTGTTTTCTAACAGGTGAGCCCGTGTTGACCAAAGACTAACCCAAGTTGACCTTGATTGACCAATGTTAGCACATATTTACGTATTTACGTCATACTTCGGTTGACCTAAGTTGCCCATAACTCGTGAAGCTACGGGGTAGAATAGGTCTTCAGCAACCCATGCTTGCCATAAAAGATGACTATGCTTGTCGTAAGAGGCGACTAACGAGATCGGGTGGTCAGGTTCGCTAACATGGTTGATGCATGTCATCGTAACCCAATTGCGTGGATCAATGCTCATGATCAATGCTGGTCCAGACTCGATTATTTACAGACCGCTGTCATATAGCTGGGATATTGCTGACTGTGGCGTTAAAAAACAAACAAACAAAACTAAACATGTGGTAACATTGTTCAACCAAGGTTAACTTGGTTTATACCTTGGTCAGTACGGGTTCACCTTTGACGTCCATGGTTTTGAATCTGCCCAGCACCTTACTTCATTAGGGTGTGTTGGAGCTACCTTGTTCAGCAGCTGCCGGGGAGACAGGTGGCCGGGCCCACAAATATGTGGGTGAGTCCGAGACGACTAGATATAAGATACAATGTCCGGGACGAGTAGAAATAAGATACACTGTCCGAGACATACTAGTCCCGGAAAAGAATTCCTGATACATTGAATCTCCGATACTACTTGTCCTATCATTGAATGTCCGATATAACTTGTCCTAGGAGGGAGGGTTGGGCTTCAAATTTAATGTGAAAGTCAAATGGTACACTGTGTGTTGACACATCATCTGTCTGTATGTTTGTTTGTGTGTTGATTAACGCCACACTCAGCAATATTCCAGCTATATGACGGCGGTCTGTAAATAATCGAGTCTGGACCACACAATCCAGTGATTGAGCATCGATCCACGCAGTTGTGATACGATTACATGTATTAACCAAGTCAACGAGCCTGACTACCCGATCCCGTTAGTCGCCCCTCACGACAAGCATAGT